TGGGGGCGGCGGCGCGGGGGGAAGCGTGTCCCGGTGTGTCCCTGCCCCGCCGTTCGCCCGGGGAGAAAAAGAAGTTTTTTTTAGCGATGTTACAACGCAGCAAACGAAACCGTGCCTCGCGGGGGGTACGGGGAGGCTCTGCTTTCATCTAAGTGACATTTTTTGTGACAAGAATGTGTCATTTCTTCTTAGTCCCCCAAGAAGGTTGGTGATGACATCGCCAAGGCCACGGGTGACTGGAAGGGGCTGAGGATCACGGTGAAGCTCACCATCCAGAACAGGCAAGCTCAGGTACTAAACGCCAGATGGGATGGCTTCGTGGTGCAAGCCTCAAGCACAAACGAGCTCTGCTTGCTCGAACCACAAGCTTACATCCCGGCAGGGTCGACTCAGCCCTTCATCCTTCCGAGGTGGATAAAATGAGTTCCACACAGCAAATGTGTGGGGGTCTTCTGGGAAAGACCTTAAAACACTTGCATGAGCCTTCTGAGCACCTCTGGCTCGAATCTGGCAGTCATTGTGTCTGTGTACGAAGCCTGGGGCTTGCCAGGCTGAAGGTTCCCAGCCTGTGAGTGATGGGAAGGGATATGCTCATGTGCAGAAGTTGATTTTTTTTTATCCTGTTGCAGATAAATTTTTCCTTTTACAGAACATCTGACCAGGAGCAAACTATTACAAGCAATAGAGAAATTACAAAAAAACTTCTTAACTAATCCTGTAGCCACCTGCCACTATACCTGTCCTGAATTCCGTGGCTGGTATATTCCAGTGGTGAGCTGAGAGGAAGCCCCAGTCCAGGAAGCAGTCCTCTTCTGGTTGTGGGGAGGCCTGTGCCGAAAGGCTGGGAACAAATTTCTGCATCACAAAAAAGCCTTGTGAACTAATTGAAAACACAATGCTCTGGTAATTAGCTTTGCAGGCACTGTGACTGCCCCATTGAATATCTTCATTAGCTGCCTAATTCTGCTTAGAGGGAGAGGAAAATTAATCTCTTTTCATTTAGATAGAGGTTGTTCCTTCTGCCTCTGCTCTGATTATCAAAGCTCTGAAGGAGCCTCCTCGTGACAGGAAGAAGCAGAAAAACAGTAAGTTTCATCTGACTTCAGTTCTGAATGTGTTTTGGGGCTAAGGGGGGAATAGGTACCTGTCTTTTGGATTATTCAGCATAAATTGGCAAATGAGTGCCATGGGTCTGTATCTTGGGCAGCTGGCATTCCTTAAGTGTCAGAGTACAGAGAACAGTTCGTACACCAGCAGAGTTCAGCTTCTTGGAGGATGGTGTAGAACAGCTACCTGCCACTGTACCTGCCTTGTAATTCAGTGACTAGGACAGTCCAGAGGTGAGCTGACAGAAAATGCCAACTTAGGAAACAGGATTATTCTTCTTGTGGGTAACTTTGTGCCAAAGTCTGGGGACAGGCACGCTGATGGCAGCCTCACTGTAGTTGTGAACTCTGGTTTCCATGTGGTCTGAGTGCTGGGAATGGTGCTTCTCTAATGAAGCATGGGGAACTGGGAGTGCCTGTGTTTTCATTAACTTAGTGGTGCTGTTGCTTTCCTTCACAGTTAAGCACAGTGGCAGCGTCAGCTTTGATGAGATAGTGAACATTGCACGGCAGATGCGGCACAGATCCCTGGCTCGAGAGCTCTCAGGTAAGTACTGGTGTTGGGGTTGCACAGAGTCCTCCCTCCGCTTGTGCCGAGTGCCTGAGCCAGGCTCTGCTCTGATTCCTGGGAGGGCCCCATAGCTGTGGTGTGGTGGAGCTCCTCCTGTGGCTTGGTTGCTCAGGCACTGAGCACCACAGGAACAACCTTGTGCTGGCTGTAAGCAGCCAGCCTCACACCTTCTGGTGAAGGTAGTACAGGATGGTGAAAGGTATGTGTGGCGCTTTCTGGTGTGTTGCCTGGAAACCAGTATGCTAGACCTGGCTTAAGTGGCTTGCTGTCCCCTGGTGAACCCTGTGGCTACAGCCTGCAAACCCCAGAGGGAGGGAGGGATGGACAGCTGAGGGGTGTAGAGAGGTGAGTTCTCTATACATTCTTCAAAGTTTTCCTGTGGTAAAGCACTGACAAGCTTTATCTTCCCACTGCAGGGACAATCAAGGAGATCCTTGGGACTGCCCAGTCTGTAGGCTGCAGCATTGATGGCAGACACCCACATGATATCATTGATGACATTAATAATGGTGCGATTGAGTGCCCAGCTGTAAGTATCCATCTCTGACTGAACTTGCTGTATTAGTCTATTTACTAAAAGACTCTCCACTGATGAGCTGTATTTACTTCTTTCAACAGAGCTAAGACTGCAGAAAAGAAGTTGCCATGTGAAGGCTCCTTAAGTTTTTTGTAGCACCTTAAATACTTAATAAAGACCCAGTTGTCTGCAAACAGTGTTGCTGGCTTAATTTGTCCTTGTCCCATGCTGCATGAGTAGTGGGTTCTGGCTGGGGATCACCTGCCCTCTGTGTCAACCAAAGTGATGGTTCTTACAGAAACTTCTAAGTCAGAAGATGCTTATTTCCCATTTGCTGCCCTGAAATCATTTGCTTGCAGCAACACTTGAGTTCAGAGAAGTGGAGCTGCCTCAAGCCAGCACTCCAGTAAAGAGCAAATATTGCTAACTTGTGGTGTCTCTTCTTGCCGGTGCCACCTGTGCAGCTCAGAGCTGCAGGTGTTGCCCTTCATTAGGGCAAGTGCTGGAGTAACAGGTCTGGCTTCCTCTGAACCACTACTGCCAGGACACAAACACATACTGAGGCTTGAACATAATTTTGGAGGCTGCCTGGCTCTTAACCCTGTGCTAGAGTAGCTGCATGTGGTTGTGGGATGGAAGAGCTCTGACTAGTCCCTGTTTGAAATGAAATCCAAGGTGTGGCTGTTCAGTCAGCATTCCCAGGGACCATAGGAGCCATGCAAAAATAGTTTTGTATGACTGGCAGTATGTAGCTTGGCCTTGCCTCTAGCCCATTATTGCCAGAAGGAACCTCTGGCCTAGGTGGCATTGTGGGTTTTCTGCTGTAGAACAAACCAGATTCTTTGCTGCTCAGTTTTTTCTCTTACCTTGAAGCAGATGACATTGTGGGTTTTCTTCTGGTGACGAGGACAAGCACACACATTCTAGTTCTTGAGCTGAATTTCTTTTGTGCTTTATTTCATCACTAAGAGGAGCAAGTCTGTTGATTGTGAGTGAAATCCTGTGGTCCTCTCTGCTTCAGAGAGTTGTAAAGGGCCCAGTCTCATGTTTCTTGGGTCTCCTGATTCCTTGAATGGTGATACTGAGGGAGCTGGGTAAGCAAGCCCTATAGCCCCTCTCTACGTTGTACGTTCCAGGTCCTGGTGTATTCTCAAAGAAAAAGAAGCAGTTTAAATGTTGGTATTTCCCTGTGCATGGGCATTCTGTAAATCCAGTGCTACTGCTTGTTAAGGAACAGATCCTAAAATCTGGCTGAGCCACAAAACTTGTGTTTAGCAGTGAATATTCTGGCTGTTTCTGCTAGTAACTGCACCCTGCAGGAGTGCCAACTTAACCTGCTGAAGAACTGCTGCCCTTCAACAAAAGGAGTTTGTACCATGGTGGTACAGCTGGGGAGTGTGGATAGAGCCAAAGATCTCCAGAGATCCTGGGGAAACTGTTCTGTTTCCAGCAAAGGCTGGATTTTCCCTTGGGGTAGCACAGTGCAAGGGTTGATGTCTAGTCTTTCAGGCTGCGGAAAGCTGTATTAGAAGTGAAGTGAAATTACCCTGGTAATAAGAATGCTTTAGCTGACTCTGAGGTATTACTAAAAGCCCTATTAACAGCAGCATTATGATTGCAGTTTACTTCAGCCCTAACAGAGCGTCCTGGGAAAAAAAAAAAGTCATGAATGTTAATTTAGGTCCATTTTTCCAAAGGGAAAGGGGATCAAATTCTTCCCAAGATGCTGAGCTGTATGAGCCTTGGTCTCAAAAAAATGTTCTGCAAGATACGTTTTCCTCCTCCGCAAAGTGGTGACAGTACTCCATTAACTTTTTTTTTGTCAGTGTCTCTTCAGTTTTGCAAATAACTCTCAAAGTTATTCTTACTGGGTACTTTCGGCCCTGGAGGAAAGCTTCCTGGCTGGAGCTCTGCTATAGCGAGCAGGATGCTAAAGTGGTGTGCATTGCAGGAAAAAATAGTTCTGCTACTACTTCTAAGGGTGTTCAGGAGAGAGTGTGGTATATGCACTAGCTGGGCTGCTAAAATTTGTTGATTGGGGCCTGGATTATTTACCAGGATCTGCCTGAGTCGTTTGTAGGAAGGAACCAGTGCAGCAGGAGGGTTGGCTGCAGTGGGAAATTGCTGCTGTTTCAGACATGCCAGGTGCTGACTGAGCTGGAGCCTCTGTAGAAAGGAAAACTCAAGTCTCCAAATAAATTCCATCCCAAACTGAATGGGAGGAGGTGTGCACCTGTAGTAATGTTTATTTCTAAAGTATATGCAAGTAATGTGTTGTTTTCTAGTATACAAGGCACTGCAGTTCCTAAGCAGCTGCACTTGAAGGCTGCTTAGGTGCAGAGCAATTGTGAGCTGGTTTGGTGAAACTAAACCTTTGTGTTTGCTCTAGCTTAAGCCAGGAGCGTGGCTTGGGCCAAGTCTTCAGTGCTGCCTCTCAGCACACAGCAGAGTCATGCCCTAGGAATGTATCTCCTACTGCTTGTGAAGCATAAAATGTATGTTGTGTCCGCAGTGGGAGCTTCAGAAATCACCTGTATGTGCACATGGTTTAGCAACAAACTGCTGCTTGACAAGACTTCAATTTCCTATCTGGTCTGCTTCTGTTAAAGTACCTACTAGTGAAGCAGGTAAAACTTTATGAAGGTGGGCCCTGGGAAAGGAGAAGTCTCCTAGCCTGTTCTTGCAAGATCCAAAAAGCCAGGTCAGCATCAAGGCCAGCCAAAAGAAACTGCAAATCACATCTGTTTTCCACCATGGTCCTGCTGCCTGAAATGTTTAATGAAGCAGCAACTCTGTAATTTTGCATTGAGCTCATGGGCAGAAGGGAGTTGCCAGGATCTTTGGAGAACGGCTGGGCTGGCAGTTTAGCAGAGGGTGAGTGACTGCTGGAGGGGGGATGTGCGGGTGGAGGAGTTTGGGCTGACTGGTGCATTTACGATTTCTGAGAAGATCCACTTTTGTCCTTTGTTCCCTGATGAAATGTGGGTACATTGCCCCGGTGACTTGAGGGCCACAGAGATTGAAGACTGGCTGTAATGAAATAGGGAAAGGCATGACAAAAAAAATTAGGTAGTTTTTCTCAAATCAAACACAGACACCAGTTTTACAGTATGTCCCAACACGTGTGGACTCAGTGTGGAGGGAAGAGCTAGACCCTCCTCATTCCTAAAGCAAAAGTGACCAAAGTCTGACCCAGGTGTCCCCAGAAATTGCAGTTCCCTGCAGAACCTGCAAGGTTTTGCCCACAGACTGTCTGTCTGTCTGTTCCTTTATAGCATGGGCAGCTCTGCCCGTGGTTGGGGCCCTTGCTGGCCTGTCTCAGCTCCCTGCCAGCCCTGAGCTCTGCACACAGGCAGCACAGGATTTTGTGCAGCCTCTTCAGCTGGTACAAGCAGAAAGCAGGAGAGTTTGTGGCTTTGCTCTTTCATTTGCTTTTTCTCCTGCTGTTTGAAGGGCCGTTTTCTGAGGCAACCAGGGAATAAAAAAAACCAGAAACATGGCTGAAATCCTAGACACTTGCCATCTTTACTTCCTTGGCTTGGAGTTGACCGTGTTTCAAGCCAGGAACACTGCTTGGATGCTCTCTGAACCAGGGTCAGGTGTAGTTCCTCGTGCTCTGTAACCTGCCACCTTCCCCACCTCTCAAAGGACACTGGTTGCACCAAATTCTGATAAGGTACAGGGGGGAAAATCTTCTATGATGAGTGGTCACAGGCTGCAATGGGGATGCAGTGGGGTGGTGAGACCTCCATCCGCAGAGATGCAGAAAGCTCAGCCTGACACCAACCTGGGCAAGCTGGCCTGGCTGTGACGCTGGCTGTGTGTCGGGCAGATGGTTAGGTCCCTTCCAGCTGAAGTTATACAGCGATTCCATGACAAAGCTGCACAAATGCTTACGCTGCCTGAGGTAGGACAGCCTGGCAGAGGACTGCAGCGCCCCTTTCAGCAGCAATTTTAGTTAAACTTGTTTAAAGTGTTTGTTGACCCTAGTGTTAGAAGAACCCCCACTTTGGTGTGAACCCCGAGAGTCTCAGGAGCTGTCAGCCTTGTGGGTGCCCGGGGCTGTCCTGTGTACCAGTGTACGTACGTACGTATGCACGCATGCACACACTCTCTCTCTCTCTGTGGGTTTTCCCCCACTTGGCAGTGCTGGAAATAATTGGAAAAAGGATTTCTTTTGCTTAAGGGAAATTCTCTTGGGGCAGGATACATAACCTTTCCCATGCTACCTTAGGGTATGTGCTTTGGTTGAAGCACTTGGAAGAAGGGTACTACCCTGCCAATAATTCGTTTTTTCCAAACCAGGCTTCTTAGAAAGGAGGCAAAGGGCTTGGTAAAGATAGTAACAACCTACATTAAGTTCACATTTAAAATCCATCTTCTTCCTAACTGGGTTTGTGCTCCAAAGCTCACTCTGATTTCTTCCCACTCTGGTGACCTGCACCTTCAGGAGAAAGGAGGGAAAGGGACATTGAGAAGCACTGAGCCCTTCCTGGGAGACCTTTGCTCTGGTGGCATAAGGGCTTCATGCACTCTAAGGAGAATGAACTTTCTCATTTCCCTGAGACAAAACAGGCCTCAAAAAGCCAAATCTTTGGGATTCATGTCTTCCTGTGTTACCAAACATTAGGATAGAATATCCGAATTTTGTTATGGTTTGGTGTGGGGTACCGAAGGCCCACAGGGCCAGCTTCCCCGCCCCCCCCACCTACAAGATGCCGTAATGGTGGATCCAGTAAAGTCAAGCGCTATTTACTGTGGGCACAGTGGGAAAGGCAGAGCTGAATCCAGCATCACCCAGCGGGTGGGAGCCATTGGTGGGTGCTCATGGGGGTGCGGTTCCCATGTGAGCTCATGAGCAGCACAGTGGGGTGTGAACTGCTCACTAATGGAGCTCTTCTGCTGTGTCTGAACCCGGCTGGATTGCCCGGTGTGGCGGGAGGCAGGTGGAGTGTGGCTGTGCCATCGGGGCTGTACCCCGGCTCTTGCTACCGCCCAGCCTGATGCCATGGTGCTTGGCTGGCTGCTGAGCCCATCTGTCCCCACGAGCAGGAATTTGATTCCGTGGCCACTCTCTAGCAGAAGACCACAGTGCTGGGGAGATACCCTGCTCTTTGCAAAGGGAGGGGTGGTGGTCTCCATCCATTGCCTCCTGCCACAAACGGTGGCCTTGGGAACACCGTACCCTTCTGCAACGTCTGCAAGGGCTGGGAACCACAGCAAGTGGGTGACATGAGAAGTACAAAGGGTGTCAAAAGAGGGGAAAAAAGGCCCAAATAGGAAAGGAAGCTTTTTCTGGCGTAAAGGCAGGGAGGAGCCTGCTTTCTGGAGGAGCTGCAGGCAGAAGCCCTGGCTGGAAATCAGGCTTGGGCGGCACATGCCCATGGCTCACCACTGTGGGCATCCGAGCAGAGCAGCACTCAGTGCTTCATTGCTTTTCCTAGGAGTCAGGCAAGCTGGTGTCCCTGCAGGGGCTAAATGCAAGCAGTACCAACAGCAAACTTCCAAAATGAAGGTAATCCCACAAACCTTGTGGGGCTTTTGGGGGGAAGGAAGATGCAGAGAATCCCCCAGGCTGAAATCATGAACCCAAATTGCTGCAATGCCCTCACATGCCCATGCACAGCCTGAAATAACCCCCAGTGCTGGAAGGGCTGACAGTAAACTGCTACCATGGGGAGCCCTTCACCGCGGGGTGACCTCACAGCAGCATTTTGTGAGGGCTGTGTTCCTCCAGGTCTCCCACCGCAGCTAGGGCTGGTTGCCTTCGCCAGCCAGGGCACGGCAAGTTTGGGCACCATGACCCATGCCTGGGGTCCCATTAACCACCCCCAGGCAAACCTCAAAGCATGTTGGCATCAGCAGCACCGCTCTGAATTTTTTCCCTGGCTCAGACAATCTCTTCTCCCCATCCACAGAATAAGAAACCCCCAATTTCTGCTCAGTGTGCCTCCAACCCACGTGAAAAAGCAGTGCCGTGGGGAACCAGAGCTCTTTCCAGCCCAAGTGAAGGCCCTGTGTGCTGAACACCAAACACCCAACTGTTGGCAACAGCGGTACCATGGGCTCTTGTTGGTTTTTTCTCTTTCAGATGTATAGCCACAATCATCAAAACCCACAACCATCAGAAATGAAGTCCTCCCCCTGATAAACCAATGTGCACATCCATTAATTCACTGCATGTTCCTTTCCACTTAACAATTTACTTTTATTAGAGAATGTATATATTTTTTCCCTTACAAATTCTTTAAAAAGCAAATCATTCTTTTTACCACGTAGGTATTTTTTGTTTCAAATTCAATGACTTGTTTGGCTTTTTCATTGAACACAATGATTTTTGCCTATCCTGTTGCAAAGGTTCACCTGTCTGGTTGGCCATTGTCACAAAAGAGGTCAGGCTGGCGCCAAAACTGTGGGGAGCAGCACTTGCAGACCTGCTAATGATGGGCTGCTCCAAATAGCTTCGTGTGTTTAATTTCCCTGGTCCATCATTATAGCCTTAAGGCGTACCTCTCTTCTGTGGGACTGCTCCATCGCAGGGCTGAAAGACTCAGAAAAGTTTTCCAAGATTCATCTTTAGATTTAACATTTGTCTCATTTAGATGCTCCTAGCACTGGTTTAAGCCCACCTTCCTTGGTGTTTATGTTCTTCAAGCCAGAGTTTTCCTATCCTGCCCCAGAGGTTTATGACTTTATATAGAGAACGCTTCTTTATCAGCCCTCCTTGCCTGCTTTATCCATGTATTTGCACTTTGAATTCCCTCTGTTACATCTTTCAAGCGTTGTTGCTCTGCAGAAGCCGACATCCATCAGGAAAACACAGCCGTTCTTGACACATCTGCCTTGACGTGCTCAGCTCTGGCCGCAGAGTCTCTGGGAGGGAAAGCTCTGCAAATCCCTTTCCCTGACTTTTGTGAAGTAAGGATTAACTTTTTGGTGCTGGAGATTTTTATTGTCATTTAGATGTTGGTCGCAATTAGATCGTGGAAATAGGTAACAGCACACTCATCCTGCTCACCGTGAGGACCGCGGGCGAACCAAACTCCCCAAGGACAAAATGTCCCCGGAGCCCCCTCGCTGCAACGACGGGTCGAGCCCGGCTCTTGCTCCGGGCCCCTTCCTTCCCCGCGCCCTGCGTGGGTTTTGGCAGGGGCGCCCGTCCCAGCGGGCGCAGCCGCGGCTGGGGTGCCCGGGGAGGCGTCAGCGGCGCTTATCGCGCTTGGCAAGAACGGACAAGCGCTACGTTCCTTCTTCACGGACGAGCGATGCTTCACGTCGTGTCCCCGCCGGACACCCACGGGGGCACGTTTTGCCCCGGAGTCGGCGTTTCCCCTCCCGGCCGTTTTCGCGCTCTCTGCCCCAACATCCCACCGCCCGAGCGGCTGCGGGTCGCCACGTGCCGCCGGGCACCGAGCAGCGCTTGCCTGCCGGCGGCGGCGGAGGAGGAGGAGGA